TGGCTCTGCGTGTGCGTGGGCGCGCGCGCACCTGCAACCACAACCTGTTTGTGATGCCGCTGCAGGATAGGCCGGCCTCTTCAGGATGCCTCGTTGCCTCTTTAGGACTGCCCATCGACGAGCGCTGGATCAATCCATTGAGCAAGGACCGCCTAGCAGCAGTTGCAGTATGCGGCCGGCATTAAGCTAGCTAGCCCTTGCAAGGCCAGGTGCGCCGCCGAGCGCCGCTGCTAGCAGTTGCAACCTGGGAGTGTGAGTTCTGGCTCCGGGTGCTCTAGTGAGTCTGGCAGCCGAGTGGTAGATCCCGCCGCAGCACTGCACATGCACCAGTATGGAGCAGTATTCTCCAGTATTCTCCAGTATGCCCCAGTACAGCAGTACGGATGGAGCTGTGATGCAGTATCCAAGTATGATTACTTCGCCGTATTGGGATATGGTGTGCATGTGAGGTACAGCAGTAAGGGGAGGTATCTCATGCAGTATTGCAGTATGATGAGACTGCATGTCGCGTATCAGGCTGTACCCACGTACCGGTTGCGCTGGCTCGGTGTACGGGAGTGGGGATACAGTTCACTGTATCTGACCAAACTAGAGGAACGCATCAGGGCAGCTATGGCAATATTGGCGGCTATTCTTGCAATATTGTAGTACGACACAGACGCGGCGAGATATCTGAGATCCTTCTATCCACTCATGGGTAATATGCCCGCAACTACTCGAGTAGGGTTGACGGAAATCGGGGACGCGACCCACCTCGCCACAGACGGTCCCGCGCCTCGCCGCTATGACGGCCACACGACCGCAGCTCGTGTGCGTGCCGCCGTCTTTGTCCGGAGTGAAAAGTCCAACGCACTCGTCGGTGACGGTGTCCCCCGATTTTTGCCGCGCTTGGCGAACCTCGACAGCGCTTTCGGTGGCATGCAGCTCTTTGCGACAGAAGCCTGGAGAGCAGCTCCTCTGCTGCTCACACACTCTGCACAGTTGACACAGCCTACTGTGCGGCTGCCACAGCTGTCACAGCGATGGGCTCGCCCTCACTGGCCCTCAGTCACTTGTGCTGCGGCTTGTGTGAGAGCGACACTGTGCTCGGCGACTGCCGGCACACTGTGAGACCATGGGTGTGAGGTCAAACCACGCTACCAGCGCTTGGTCACATCGGCCCCGAGGTCAGATCCATCTATTCTGTGATGACAAGACTTGTCTATCGGCTGGAGCCGAGCAGGAGGGCCCGGCGCACAACCCCCTGGTCAACTCACGCCCTGGCCCTCCACACCCCGTATACCCACTGAGCACTGTAGGCCGACGAGCGACGTCCTCCCGAAGGCGAGGAATTTTCACACAAGAAGGCTGCCCAGTGTGGAGAAGAAAAGCTAAGTCACGGAGTCGGCGCCACCTCACTGCTCACAGCTCACACGGGCCGAAGCCGCCCCGGCCTCGCCCAGTACATGCGCGGGATGGCGAGCGAGGCGCGGTAGCCTCGGCGGACGCCAAAGGCCAGGCCGCCGCTGGAGCACGCCGCGGTGAGTCCGGCCACAGCTGCACGACCTAGGCGGCGGAAGCCGAGCGGTGTCCGCTTCCGGCGGGCGGAGTGCGGCGCTGCTGCTGCCGGTGGGTCGGAAGGCTTGGTTGGCGCCGGCGGAGAGCCGCGGAGGCGGCCTCGACCTCCCAAGCGGCTCGCGATCGCCCACAAGCTCGCTGCAGTGCGGCGCTCAGCGGGTGTCTCGGAGGCGCTCGCATCGATGCGAGACCCAGCCCGGGTGCCGCTGGTCGTCCACAGCCGCTGGAGGCGCCCGAGGTGCCTGCCAATGGTGCTGGTGTGGACGGTGACGTAGCCCAGGGGGCGGAGAATGGCCGCGCTTGTGAGCCCGGCGCCAACGACCAGCAGCCGACGAGGCTGGAAAGGGTCGGCGAGGCGGGTCACTCTGCCGA